CACTGCAACCCCCCTGCAACATTCCCAGGTCAAATCTGCCCTGCTCCCTGCTCCGTCACACCATCAGCTTGGGGAGGTGTGAATTGCTCCCGCTGGGCAAGTGTTCTCTCTCTCTCACACACACACACACCCCGGTCAGGTACATCTACACCTAAAGCGCTACAGTTGTGCTGCTGCCCCACGTCAGTGTAGACGCTCACGACAGCGATGGGAACGGACTGAGCTCAATCCCTCCCCTACAGAGCTCTGCTTTGAGCCCCAGATGTGCACAAAATAACTTACCCCCCCCAACCCAGCATGTTACTAAATCAACAGGGGCCTTATCGTGGGAGCCCCTTTCTCAAATCACCCCAAATCTTGCTCATGAGCTCTCCCTGGCGCCCCACAGAGCACAGCACTTAGCGCCCCCAGGAAGTGCTGCCCAATCTAACGCGTACGGAGCGGGTGCGCCGCTCTGACCCTGGCAGTGCCCGGCGCTGCTCAGACAGCGGGGCAGTGCTCCTGTCCCCTGCCCCCACTCGCCCCATCGGCCCCCGGGCCTGTGACTGACCCTTGTTTGCCTTCTCTCTACCCCCAGGTCAGCGGTGGGCTTGGGCGTCATCTCTGTGCTGGGAGGCGTCTTTGCTGCCTATCTGATGGTGCTGGCGGTGCTCAGCCCCTGCCCTCCCCTGCTGGGCAATGCCGCAGGAGTCGCCCTGGTGGTGAGTAAGGTGGAGTCCGGGCCCCGGTCTCTCTGGGGGCCCCTGCACCTGCCTGCAAAGGAGCCATCACAGCGTCCCCTGCTGGTGGGCTGAGGCTTCGCTCCAGGGGCTGTTTTCTGGGGTACCGTCCAGGCAGCCTCTAAATGACGGGGCTTCCCAGGGCCCTTGGCAAACGTCCCTCCGGTCTCCTCCCGTGGCTCCCGGTTCTGCCCCGCCTGCCCTGTGCTGCTGCTTCGGGGTTCAGTCTCCGGGGGGTCTGACACAGGGCTGGCTCCAGCTTTTTTGCCGCCACTAGCGGCGAAGCGAAAGAAAAAAAAAAGATAAAGCCGATCGGTGGCACTTTGGCGGCAGGTCCCTCGCTCCCTCTCTTTCTTTTAAGCGGCACTTCGGCGGCAGCTCAAAGAGGAAGAGAGGGACTGAGGGATGTGCCACCCCTTTCCATTGGCCGCCCCAAGCACCTGCTTCCTTCGCTGGTGCCTGGAGCCGGCCCTGGTCTGATAGGAGGCTCCCAGGGCTGGAGAAGTGTCTGGGAGTCCAGGCAATGCCCGGGATCCCCAGGGGCTGGTGGGTGCCCCCTGGTTCCCAGCCGGCCACCCAGGCCAGTTTGCTCCCAGAGGGTTTCTGGCCCACGAGGCGGGGGTGGCTGTGTTGGTCCTGCCCGTCGTGACCCGTGGCTTCCCGTGGGTCGCTGTGGTCGGCCCCCGTGGCTGAGGCCATGTCTCTCCCCGACAGGTGCTGGCCTGGATCCTGTTCATCGGGCTCTTCTCCTACCTCAAGGTGGTGATCGGCAGCCTGCTGCACGAGGCTGGCCACGCAGCACTGGTGTGGTGTGGAGCGGTCATCCAGGCGGGCTCCCTGGTGGGCGCGCTGGCCATGTTCCCCATCGTCAGCATCTATCACCTCTTCCAGAGCGGGCAGGACTGTACCGACAACTGTGGGGCATGAGTGGGGGGCAGGCCACAGCAGCCGCATGGGGAGCTCTGCCCGGCTGGAGCTGTCACCAGCTGACTCCGCCGTAGGGACGTAAGAATTGCTGTAGAGGGTCAGAGCGCTGGGCATCTCGTCCCGCGGCTCCTGGCCAGTAGCTGATGCTTCAGAGGAGAAGCCCGTGGTGCCCCTGGCCAGCTGGGAGCCTCTGCTCTCCCCTGCTGCTCGGAGCAGGGCCCTGGGCCGGTCACACTACCGTACAGACCAGGCGCTAGGCGGCCTGCCCAGCCCTGCTGCATGGGGAGAGGGGGAGCAGCCCTGCCTTGCGGCCTGGTTCCCAGGGGCTGGCAGCTGCTGCACTCGCTGCTTCTCCGGCGGGTTTTAGGATGCACTGGGCTGGGGCTGGGGTGGGGGCACTTTGCTGGCACTGCTGCCAGAGCTGAGGGCCCCTATGGCGCAGGACCAGACTCCGCGGGGTCCTCCCCCCCGCAGGGCTCCCACTGCAATGGCCGCTGACTGGATGGAGCCGCTGTGCGCCCTTCTCCAGCGCCGTTCCACTCGCTGCGCGGCCTCCCCCAGCCGTCCCAGCGCCCGCCCAGTGCTCTCAGTACACGTTAACCCTGAGCTGCCCCGTCCTGGGCGTCCCTACCCCCGCCCCGCCCCCAGCGCTCCGCTCACGGACCGAGCTCGCCAAGCACGGCACACCTGGCACCTGGGCAGGCGCTGAGCCTGGGGATCTGGCAGGTTAACCAGCCTGCCTGCCTGGGGCTGCCCTGTGCTGTGCTACCCCCGGGGCACCCTGCCCCCTGCTCACTGAAGAGCCAACACTTAGCAGGGGGATCCCCGGGAGCCCAAGGAGGGGTTGGTCTCTGATCCCAGCCAGTGCAGCCTGCTCCCCCCAGAGCTGGGGTCTGTGCCCCGCCTTCAGGAGGGTGTTCCCTGGCCACCTCCTGCAGGGGGAGGGCGGGTCCCTGATGCCCAGCCGGCCCCATGTTTCACTCCCAGCAGCCTCTCAGCCCAGGGAGTTTATCTTGGCAGGACAAGGGGCAAACAGCTGCCTGACCCTCTGCGGGTCTGCATGGCTCCTGCCCCCCAAAAACAGGGGGGCTGGGGGGCCCAGGCTGGGGCAATCGGGGGACGGGGGTTCCTCACTGCATGGGGGTGGGGGGCACTCTGCTCCCTGAGCAGCCTGGGACCAAAGCCAGCAGGGAGCCCCCAGCCTTGGGGGGTGTCCTAAGCCAGGCCCATAGTGGCAGGTCTGGTGCAGGGTGGCACATATAGCCTGGCTATTGGCCGTGTCACCTCTGCGGGCCCTGTTGCCTGCCCGGGGGCTCATGCTGCTGCGTCTCACTGGCTCCCGCCGGGCTCCACGTGGCTTGGCGGGCGGGCGGCGATATGTCTCCGCAGCAGTAGAAAGATGGTGATTTTGTGTAGACGCTGACTCCCCTCCCCCATGGGCCAAGGAGGGGTGCAGCAGGAATAAATCTCCTTATCCCAATCACTGGGGCTTGGCGCTGGTGTCCCTGGGCTGGGGGGGCCTGGGGCTGACGCGTCCCCCCGGGAGGGACAGAGCCAGCTGCGGGGCTGCATGGAGAGCGAGTCATGGCGCCATTCTGGGAACGGGCAACGGGATGGATCAGTTGGTGATTCCCTGGTCTGTTCATTGCCCCCGGGGCAGCTGGCACTGGCCCCTGTCAGCAGACAGGGCACTGGGCTAGATGGACCTTTGCTCTGACTCAGTCTGGCTGTTCTGATGCGGCTACTGGGGCGTAAACCAGCCCTGTGTGCGCCAGCCCCTGGCGAGGTGGCTCCTGGCCCAGGGAGGGCTGCAGTTGTGTGTGGACCCGTGCAGGCAGGGGGGTGCAGAGGCCCCCAGCGTGGCCCATGCAGGTCCGAGTGCTCCCTGGTTAGTGATGCCCAGGGGCAGCGCCGTGGCCCGGCTCTGGGCTTGGGTGGGTCTGGCTGCTGAGCGTCAGGAGCTGTCCGTGCAGAACAGGGCTCCCTTTGTCCGTGCAATGGATGGAGCTGCAGGCAGCAGCCGTGCCGCACCACGAGGGCGTGTGGGCCTGGGGCCGGCTCCTGAACACTCCGCGGCCTTCAGCTTGCTACAGCCTCCGGCCAAACCGCAGCTGCTCTCCACAAGCCCGCGTGATCTCGGGAGCACACGGGGCTCTGCTGGGCCTGGAGCCAGGCAGCAGGGGCACAGGGAGGACACGTGGCGGGGGCTGCGTGTCCTGGAGAGCTAGCGCTGGGGTGCAGTGCCATAGAGAGGTGCTGTCACGGACTCTCAGATCGTGCCCGCTCTTGGCCCCGTGCGGTCCCTGGGGGGGTGCCCCTTTCAGTGCGACAGCCCTTCTCGGGGGTCCACTCTTGTGGTCAGGCCCCTCCACCTCCTGGAGCCGCACCTCTTGGAGCCTTAGCACGTCTGTCTCTGCCGTGGGCCCCCTCAGGGAGTCCACTCGCTCTGGACCCCCGGGGCCTCCACCCCCGAAGGGGTTGATGCAACCCTGTTCTCTAGACCGGAGTGACTCTCAGCCAGCATGAAACAGGAGGATTTGTTGAGAGTTGAACACAGCCCAGGAAACTCTCAGGGCCTCAGACCTGTCCTCCCTCAGCCCAGCACATCCCAGTCTCCCTGCATCCAGGTGGGCTCTGCCTGCTCCCCCTCTCCAGCCCCGAGCCCCCCTGATCCCAGCTGGGCATCTGAGTTCCCAGGCCCTAAGCCCCCTTTGTCCATTGTCTTCTCTCCAGAGAAACAGGGTTGTAAACTGGGGCCTCCTCTCCTCACTTCTGTCCTCTGGCTGGAACCGGCTGGTCAGGTCACTGGGTCCTCACTCTGCAGCCCATTGTCCTCCCACTGGCCAGAACCGGCTGTGACTCCTGGTCTGGGTCTCCGGGTCCGGTTGCTGGTGTCTCCATCCTCCAGGCCATTGGCTGGGGTCCCACGTTCCCTCTCCGGTCCTCTGTAACAACAAACTCCTCTCCCCTCCCCTCGTTAAACCAGTAACACCCAGGGAAACTGAGTCCCACCCCCTCCGCATGCAAACCATTGAAACCCCACCGAAAACAAACAAGAAAACCCCCCACTTCGTCACAGGAGCTCCGGGGGATGCTGGCCGGGGGCGGGGAGCTGGGCTGGCTCCAGAGGGGAGGGAGGCTGCAGGACAGCGGCGAGGGGTGTCTGTGCCGGGGGGAGGCAGGCAGCTCCGCGTTGGTCCCCGCCTGCTGCACGGGGAAGGATGCCTAGGAGGGTTGATTGTTGGGCAGCTCACAAAGTGCCGGCACGTGACTAGCCCTGCCCTGGGGTCTGCACTGTACTCTGCACGGCATAGGGCAGGGCCAGGCCCAAAGTCCTTTTGTGTGAGCTCCCGGCTGGGCCTGTCCCGTCCCCTTGCCTAGGACTCTGGGTACTATGGGAGCCTGGATGTTCTCCTTGGAGGCCGTCCGGGGAGGAATCTGTCTGCTCCTCCTCTCCATGGCTGGGGAGAAGATTGTGCCCCATCTTGCAGACCCAGAGCTGGCCAGGGTGCCCTGCACATCTGGAGCTGCTGCACTTGGTTCCCGCAGCTCATTCCAGCTGGTGAGGGAGCTGCCTTGATGTTCCCCCCGCGCTCAGCGCAGTGCCCCAGGTCCCTGTGGGCGCAGCCCCTGCTGCCCCACGCTGCCCCGGTTCCCTGCTGAACATGAGCCAGCTGGAGGCCTTGGCTTGCATCGGGTGGAGAGACCATGACTTCCAGCAGGGCTGCATCCCACCCTGCCAGGGGCCCAGGCTGGTGCGTGCCGGAGATGGAACTTTCCCCACAGCTGGCTCTGGCCTGGGGAACTCACTGCCACAAGAGAAGAGATCCGGGGCTCTCTGTGCTCAGAGCCACAGGCAGGGTTTAGCTTTGGGCCTTGACTCTTCCTCTGTGGGCTCGTCCCGCAGCCCCAGCCGACAGATCCCTGCCCTTTCTCCTCTCGGCTGGGCACGAGGCACCGATTGCTGGGCACAGTTTAAAGAGGTTGGTGGCATCCGGACGCCCTGGTGCTGGGCCTGGAGAAGCACTGCCTGGGTGTGAGTGGTGTGTGCTGGGCTGGGCCCTGGGGCGTAGGTAACGCTCCCATCACTGCCCCTCTCCGTGGGAGCTTGGGGTCAGGGTTAGGTCAGTTTCATAACTGCTGCGCATTGAGACGCCTCCCTAGAGCTCCACCTGCTTCCCCCGCCTATAGCACCTCAGGCTGACGGAGCCCGGCCGGCTCCATCCTCCCACCGCCCTCCCCCACGCAGCTGGCCGTGCTCCCCCACTGCGGTGTGCCCGGCTGGGCTAGCGGCTCCTCCGGCCTGGAGGGGGGCGGGGGAGCAACCACCCGCCTCCAGCCGCAGGGCTGACACCCAGCCAGCTCTGGGGTGGAGCAGGGCAGGGCCCAGCACTGGTGTAGAACAGGGCCCGAGGAAGAATCGCACATCCTTGGAAACAACCGGGGGGTTAAATAAGCCAAACAGGAAAACCTCCGCTGGGATTTGGCTGAGGCCCTGGGAATAACAGCGGATCACAGGCGCCAGGACCGGCCTGTGGGCAGAGCGCAGTCGGTTCTGCTGTGACTCAGAGGGGAGCGCCCCACCCCGAGTCGCCAGCAGCCCTTCACCCAGCCCAGGCAGAGCCAGCCCAAGGGTACTGGGCCTGTGCAATTGAGCGAGGTACTCGGGTTGTCTCTGGGGAGAGCGTGGGGGGGGCAGAACAGGAGCCCTGGCCGTGGAAACGGGCACTGACGGTGCCCATGCTGTGTGGGGCAACGCCAACCCTCCCTTTGAAGAGACGCTGCCCCGAGCTGGGCTGGCTGCCTGGTACCCCCTGAGACCTGCACGCTCGTGTCACAGCGAGCGTGGTCGAGGCCCTCGGGAGGTGCCAGCGGACTGTGAAAGGGACTCAGACGGCTAGTGCCCTGGGGGTGCGGGAACAGGGCTGGGCCAGTGGGGTGGGGCTGGGAGGGCGCAGCGGGACCCGCTGCTGTTTTGCTGACTCATCCCAGCTCAGCTTCCACCTGTGCCAGGCGGGAGTGGGCGAGAGCTTCCGTTTCCCTGCAGGGCCTTCCCGGGCACAGGGCCAGCCTGGCTCTCACGGCACCCACGGGCCTGTGCTCCGGGGCGGGGGGGCTGCAGCCGCCTGCTCTCCCAGACGGGGGGGGGCTCCGGTTTAGTTGTGCTGCGCAGGCGTGAAGCGAGGGGGGAGTATTTCCCTGGGTGACCCTGGCAATGGCCAGCCGCGGCTCGAGAAGGTGGGAGCCTGCGGCTGCAGGCTGGGCACGGGGGAGTTTGACACGCGCTGTCGCCGAGGTCTCCCTCCGGTCCTTCCAGCATCGTGGTCTGACAGTCCCCAGAATATCCTGCGGCTGGGAACTGGAAATCAAGACACACACGCTCCAAACTGGACACTGCTTATCCGCCGAATCCTGCCCAGCCTGTCCTGTGTGAGCACCGCCCTCCGCATGCACGGCCGTTCTGCAATGCCAGGCTGGGCACCTCTTCCTGCCTTAGCGCCTATGGGCACAGGGCTCCCCCACAGGGACTCACTGCTGTGTCCCACGGGCGAGGAACCCAGCAAGTAAAGGCAGCGCCCGTCCCCTGAGCAGTCCTGCCTGACCTGCAGGCACCGGCTCAAGTGTGCATGGGCTGGGACGGCAGCAGGGTCCAGCCGGGGGGTCGGGGGCTTCTGCTGCGATGCTGACCGGCCGTGTGAGCGCCCCCCACCCCACCGCAGGGCCTGTCTCCAGTTCTGAGGAATGGGGCTAATCCCTGTGGGACCCCCCGCGGGGCAGCAAACAGCCAAGCTAGGCCGTAAGGACTGGACAGGCGCGTCTCGAGTCTGCTGGCCAGAGAGCACCAGAGCGACACTGTTAGTCCTCCCCAGGCCGCTGCATGCACAGCGCCTCCTACAGGTGCTGCAGTGCCGGGGACGGGCAGCCCCCTGCAGCCCCCATCCCCCAGCCAGCTCCCTGCAGTGCATTCCCCAATCCCCGGCCCGTCTCCCGCAGCGCATTCCCCGGCCCGGCTCCCCACAGCACATTCCCCGGCCCGGCTCCCCACAGCGCATTCCCCAATCCCCAGCCCGGCTCCCCACAGCGCAGTCCCCAATCCCCAGCCCGGCTCCCGCAGCACATTCCCCAATCCCTGGCCCGGCTCCCCACAGCGCAGTCCCCAATCCCCGGCCCAGCTCCCTGCAGCGCATTCCCCAGCCCGGCTCCCGCAGCACATTCCCCAGCCCGGCTCCCCACAGCGCATTCCCCAGCCTGGCTCCCGCAGCACATTCCCCGGCCCGGCTCCCGCAGCGCATTCCCCGGCCCGGCTCCCGCAGCGCATTCCCCGATCCCCAGCCCGGCTCCCGCAGCACATTCCCCAATCCCTGGCCCGGCTCCAACAGCACATTCCCCAATCCCCGGCCCGGCTCCCGCAGCGCATTCCCCAATCCCCGGCCTGGCTCCCGCAGCGCATTCCCCAATCCCCAGCCCGGCTCCCCACAGC